GGGAATTTAGTGTATGATAAAGGCACCACATCACATCATTGGAGAAAAGATGGTTAATTCAATAAACTGTGTTGGGAGAATGAGCTATGTATTTGCAAAAAACAAAGTTAGAGTTCTAACTCTAAAATTTACAGATGGATCAAAGGTATAAGCATTTTAAAAATCACAAAATTCTATGTTGTTTGGAATTTGCTTCAAAATGACCAAGGGGTGGGGAGAATGGCTGGGGCATAGATGGCAGGAGATTCATTGTATTCTTTTGTGGGTTTTTAAACAAATGCCATAAGAAATCAGAGGATAATTTTTAAATAATCTTGGATCGGGCAAGGCCTTTCCAGGTACATCACAAAGCGTCAGAAGCCATAAAAGAAAAAATTGAGACATTCAACTATATAGACATTTTTTTAAATAAATAAAACAATTGAATGTCAAAAAAGTCACCATTGACAAGTTAAAAGGCAAATAAACTGTGAAAGAATTTTCACGTATCACGAAAAACAGGCTAATTTCCTCTCTCTATAAAGAGCTCCTACAGATTAATGAGAGACCAATAATGCATTAGAGAAATTGGCACTGTATATTAACAGACAGTTCATAGGGAAAGAAATACCAATAGCTTTTAAACATGAAAAAGTGTTTACTCATAATAAATTTTTAAAGACTACAATGAGATATAATTTTCAGCTATCCAATTGGTAAAACTGAAACAAAATTGATACGTTGTGTTATAAGGGATGTGGGAAAACACTTTCACAAATTGTTGGTAGGAACATGGCGCTCCTTTTATGAAAAGAAATTTGTACTATCTGTCAACATTTAAAATGCAAAAAATCTTTTTAATGGGCAATTTCGCTTCCAGTCATTTGTCCCACAGATGATATACAATATGAAAATATAGAAGGACATTCATTACAACGTTGTCTATAGTAGCAAAGGATTGGAGATGACCTAAGTTGCCACCCACAGGGAACTGAAGCCGGGCACCATGGCACGTGCCTGTGGTCCCAGCCACACAGGAGGCTGACGCGGGAAGACTGCTTGAGCCCCAGAGTTGGTGATCAGTCTGGGAAAGACAGTGAGAAAAATAAAACAGTGAACTGGTTAAGGCAGCCCTGACACGCCCGTGCAATGGCATACTACACAGCTGTGAAGAAAACTCGAGAGATCCAGGTGAACAATATGGAATGACCTTCAAGGTACAGTGTTGAATGAAAAAGGTGCAGAATAGTGGCTTCAGTGCACTTTGCATGGAGGAAAGCATGTCTGTGTGTACGAAATGAATGCAACGGATATACACACACGCTCATATATGTTTATAAATGCATAGAGCATTTCTGACAGGATATAAAAGAAACTAGTCATAGCTGGGCTGGACAGAAGTGTAGGGACGAAGGAGGAGGAAGATTTATGTTTCACTGTTTAATTTTTACATAGTTTATATTTTGTGCCCTCTTTGCACATCACCTAGTCGAAAGTAAATTCAAGAATAATTTGTACTTACACAGAGAGTGAATGATGAAGAAAACATAGTAAAATGTTAACATTTAGGGAATGTTGGTAAAGGGAATATGGGGATTATTTTACTATTTTTGCAACTTTTGTGTATGTTTGAAATTAGTTCCAACACAAAAAGTTTTAAAAAAATCAATAAATTAAATTGCTAAACAAATGAATATTCTCACAACCAACCATCCCTTTTACCCCTTTTTACAGCTGAGGAAAGTGATACTCAGAGTTTCTAGGGGTTTCTTGAAATAAATAAGACATTCATTTATTTGTTCAACAAGTATTTATTGAGCACCACTGTGTGCTGGACACTGCTAGGCACTGAGGATATAAAAGTAAAGTAGACTGAGTGAGGGACAGAGAGGGGTGGGCGCGTGTTTGAGATGGGTGCTCAGGGAAGGCCTGTCTGCGGAGGTGATGTTGGAATAGAACATGTGAGGAGGAAGATCTGGAAGAGTGTTCAGGCAGAGGGAAGAGTGCGTGCAAAGGCCCTGAGGCAGGAGCATGCTGTGCACGTGAGGAACAGTGAGGAGACTGGTGTGGCTCAAGCACACAGGAGAGGGAAGGGTGTAGGAGATGAGGTCAGAGGAAACAATAGGCTATGTAAGGGTTTTACTGTAAGTAAGATGCATGCTCCAGCTTAGGTTTTATTGTTATTTTTTTAATATGAAGTGGGGAAGTGAGGAGGAGGGTTCAATTTTCTTTTCTCTTCTCTTCTTAGACAGAGGCTCACTCACTCTGGGTAGAGTGCAGTGGGGTCATTGTAGCTCACTTCACCTCCAACTCCTGAGCTCAAGAGATCCTCCCACCGCAGCCTCCCAGAGTGCTAGGATCACAGGCATAAGACACCATGCCTGACTTCAACTTAGGGTTTAAAAGGATCCTGCTGGCCGGGCACGGTGGCTCACGCCCGTAATCCTAGCACACTGGGAGGCTGAAGCAGGTGGATTGCTCAAGGTCAGGAGTTCAAGACCAGCCTGAGCAAGAGCAAGGCCCCGTCTCCACTAAAAACAGAAAACAATTAGCTGGACAACTAAAAATATATAGAAAAAATTAGTCGGGCATGGTGGCACATGCCTGTAGTCCCAGCTACCAGGGAGGCTGAGGCAGGAGGATCGCTTGAGCCCAGGAGTTTGAGGTTGCTGTGAGCCAGGTTGACGCCATGGCACTCTAGCCTGGTGAACAGAGTGAGACTCTGCCTCAAATAAATAAATAAATAAATAATAAAAGGATCCTGCTGGCAGCCGACATTCTGGAGAGTACACTGTCCTGGGCAAAGGCAGAAGCAGGGAGCCCAGCGAGCAGGCTGTTAGTTACAGCAATGCAGACAGGAGGTCATGGCTGGGCCCGGAGGGCAGCGGTGGAGGGGAGGGGAGGGTGGAGGTGACTGGACTCTGGCTATACGCTGAAATATTGCCAACACAGTTTGCTGCTGGATTTGGCCCAATGCAACAAATCCAGGACCTTCTTTCCAGCAAGGGGCTCTCTCTGGTTCCCTGGAAACATTTAGGGAATGTTGCTAAAGATATAAGATCCAACCTCAGGATCTCAAGGCATCCTCAGTTGGTTTGCCCCCACCCTCACCGGCCCAGCTCCTGGCCATGGAAATAAAGGGGCAGGGAGAAGGCGGGGTGGCCACGCCCTTCTGGTGGCTCCTGAGTGCCGCTGAGTCCTGTGAGTGGTGAGAGCTCAGCCTGCCTTTGTCCTTAGCACCAGCCCGGGAAGAAACCTGCCAGGACGTAACAAGTGCTAAGAAAACAATTAGATCTCCGCACTTGGGAAAACAGCGGGGCTAATTTTCAAAGCACCGTGTTGCTGGATTTTAAAACACTGAGCTCAGAAACTAGCTTTTATGAAAACGAAATTAATGAACGAGGATCAAAAGCAGTGAGACTGTTTTATGATTAGGAAAGTTTTCACACTTACTGATTTTTAATTCCCCACAGATGCTTGAGTTCCCTTCACAGCTTGGTAACTGAGGCTCTACGCTGGTGCAGGGGCAGAGCCAGGCTGCAGCCGGCGACCCGGGGCTCCCTGCCGCCTCTGGCTGCTGGCTCCACACAGCTCCAGGAGCAGCTAGGTGAGCGGGCAGTCCCACGGGAACCAGGGCCGGGGAGCGTGTTTCGAAGCTGCCTTTGTGTGGCGCTTTACGTCAGATTGAGAAAAGCTAAGTTACGTCAAAGACCGAGGAGGAGCGCAGAAAGAGATGGGTCCCCGCAACTGCCCTCTTAGAACTGTCGCAGTGGCAGTGGCCCTGGGCAAGGCACTTCCCCTTCTAATTAGGTTCAGGTCTTAACATTTCCAAAGATAGTCCCTGTTACTGGAGGAAATAGTTTATTCACAAAAACAGCTACAGGTCTGGCTAATCTGTATTAGCAGGAATAGGAAAACATACGGAGATCGTGCGGCCGGGGGTGGGGCTGGGCGGAGATGAGGAGGACAGAGCTAGGTAAAGAGTGTTATATTTTTTTAACTCATTTATTTATTTATTTATTTTGAGACAGAGTCTCGCTTTGTTGCCCAGGCGAGAGTGAGTGCTGTGGCGTCAGCCTAGCTCACAGCAACCTCAAACTCCTGGGGCTCAAGCAATCCTCCTGCCTCAGCCTCCCGAGTAGCTGGGACTACAGGCATGCGCCACCATGCCCGGCTAATTTTTTCCATATATATTAGTTGTCCAATTAATTTCTTTCTATTTTTAGTAGAGACGGGGTCTCGCTCTTGCTCAGGCTGGTTTCGAACTCCTGACCTTGAGTGATTCGCCCACCTCGACCTCCCAGGGTGCTAGGATTACAGGCGCCCGGCTGGTAAAGAGTGTTAGGATGCACTCTGTCTTTGCTCCGGATTTTGCATCCTGGCAAGACCTCCCGGAGGGGCCTTAACACCCTGCTGAGTTAGTCCTTAAAGCTAAGACACAACTGTGGCCTACAGTTCATGAAGCAGCGATGCGGACACCACCTTGGAAGAGTGTAAGGAGGGGTTGGCAGGCTCAGAGAGGAGGGCCTGGAAGACCTTCCCTTCTCAAAGCAAGAAAGAATGAGCCAGTGAGAGGAGCTCAGTGCCGGCCAGGTTGCTTGTGGAAATGCGGTCATGGAATGCCTTGGCCACTGCCAGTGCAGACACTAAGGCTCTGGAAGAGCAGAGACCACACAGGGCCACTTAATTATCAGATGCAAGGTGGAGACAATGACATGACAGGCAGCAAGGCCTGAATGGTGACCAGGGGTCCTTATCCGCAGGGCTCTGTGGCAGTGTCCCTAGGATAAGAGGTGAGCATGCAATGAGAGCATGGCTTGACTTACACACAAAAGATCAAGGGAGAGTGAGCAGAGGCTGGTGTCACAACAGAGAATTGCAATCTCTCACCCAGTTTTCAGATTTGAGCCAGTTCTCAGCGCCAGGGCCCAATGATTGAAGAGAAAGACCCATAATGCCCCTATAAGAATATAAAATAAATATTTCCCCATTCTTCCCCAAAGTACCCTCTGGCCACTTACCAGAATAGCTGTACAGCGTGGAAAAGGGAAAACCCAGGTCTTTGGGAGTCTGTTGAATCCAGGGTCAGAGCTTGATACGGAAAATGGCGGGCACGGGGACGTGGCCGCTTGCCGCCTCCCCGTTGCTCTGCATCTCTGCGGGCCAGCGCTGCACGTGGCCAGTTGGAGGGCACACTGCTGGGGCCGGCCAGAGGCAGAGAGCCGCCAGGAGGGCCCCCGAGTGCCGCCAGGGATGCCCAAATGCCCCCAGGCCTGCATGCCGCTGCCTATTTCTGTCCATGTTGCTTGCATGAGCCTGATTGGGTGATTTTTGAATCCCACTGTTTTTGATTGGATGTTAAAGCTTGTTGATTGGATGTTAAAGCTTGTTGTTGATTGGACGCTTTTTGAGCCCTACCAAGGGTATAAAAGTAGGGGGAGACCAGGGCAGAAGGGTCAGAATACCAGAAGATGCAAGGAGAGCTGTGACGCTGGGTGTGCTGAGCCTGCTGTGGAGGAATAGAAGGCTATTCGATTCTTCGTGTGCCACTCGGTTCTTTCCCCGGTCAAGAGCTGTAACAAGAGCTGTAACGCTAGCTGTACACATTGCCGCAACAAGCGTGCACTGGGGCTAGGTGACCCAAGATACCATGACAGCCTCATTTTAGAGGGGGGGAAACATTCGAGCCCAGGTGACAAATGGAGTCCCAGCCAAGTTCATCTCTGAATGGACCCAGTGAGTCTGCGGACCCACCCTGTGGCTGTTTCCTAGCCCCTGAGTGCAAATCATGATGGATAGACTTAGCAGATGGCAGAACTCTCACACTGGTTCCCTCGTCTATGGAATAGGAGCCATTATGAAAAGAAAGATCAAGTAGAAATCTCTAAAATGATCCCACTGGTCAAAATACTAAATCAGAAGCAATACCACATCCCAGGTGGAATTGCAGAGATTAGTGACGCCCCCCAAAGACTTAACCGCTTCAGTACCTCGACCATGGTTGACAGCCACAGATGAACGTGCACAGCGACTGCAGCCGACAGCCGTGATATGATTTTTCTAATTTTTCATTTATCAAAATAAAATTCTGAACATTTAAAAAAAACGTAATGAAACATATGTTACCTATTCTGATTTACATTACGAGTAAAGCTGCCTGTAAAGTAAAAGAAGTTTTCAGTGCTTTAAAGCTTTCCTCATCACACAAGAGCAAAACGGACTCGTCGTCAATGCACAGCACAAACTGTCGTGCGGACTGTGAGTGCGGCTGTGGGCGAGGTGTCGCGGCCGGTGAGCGCCGCACCCAAGCGGTTAAAGAATGCTCAGGTGGTGGCCCTATCATGTCTCCATTGGACCCACCCCATACTGTCCCTGTTAAAACCAAGCGAAGCATGGTGATAGATGGTTACCTACATGGCAGCCCTGGTCACAGCCAGTATATCGGATATGATGTCCTTACTAGAACAGTTGACACAACCTCTGACTATCAGAAGCCAATAACATAGCAAATGCGTTCTTTTCACTCCATACCAGGAAAGGGGATCAAAAGTGGTTCACCTTAACACCCCTACAGAAATCCCGAGACCTATCACATAGTTTTCAGTGGCCAAATGAACTGGGGCACGCTGGGACATTCCCTTTATGGTAAAGGACAACTTATTATCTTTTGTAGCTACTGTCATCTTTCAATTTGGATTTTGGAGGCAATATACTAAATACTGCTCCAGCCCATGCACTGGGTGACCTCGCAAGCTGCCACATTTGAATGAAGTCCGGAGCGAGAGAGAGGGCTCCAGGACAGGTGCATGCTGGGGACAGGCACTCGGATCGTGCAGCCCAGCATATCCCATGGTACTGGACACCATGGGAAAAGCACAGCGCAAAGTCTCTGGAAAGCCCCCCCGGGGAAGTCTCACGCCAGAACCCTGGGCTTCTGATGTGAGGCCGTGCCCTGTGCAGCAGAGGTTTATCAATATTTAAAAAGTAGCTCTTGGCCAAGTTGCACAATTGGGAATAAATAAATTATTGTTTTAAGTCACTAAGTCTTGGGGTGGCTAATTATGAAGAGAGAATTGAACGTATATGTAATAGTACCTTGTTCTTTTTAGTGTTGTATAATATTCTACACTAGAAATATACTACAATTTATATAACGATTCTTCTTTTATGGACATTTTAGCTATTTCTAGTTTGGGTCTGTTAAGAATAATGCTGCTAAGAATCCTACCAATGTGTCTACCAAAAGTGGTGGAAATATGTACTCATTTCTCTTGAGAACATACCTAGGAATAGAATTACTAGGTCAGGAGGTAGGCATGAAGGTGGGCATCCTTAGAAGATAGTGCCAGTTTTCCAAAGCACTTAAAACATTTTGTACTTCCAGTAGCAAGGTATGAAGAGTTCCACTTGCTCCGTATCTTTGCCAACACCTGGCATTGTCAGTCTTGTTAATTTTCGTCATTCCGGTAGGTGTACAGTGGTACCTTACTGTGGTTTCAACCTCCATTTCCCCGATCAGTAATGATGTTAAGCCACAATACATTCTTTACAAAAAGAGAGTGCACAACAAACTGAAATATTGACAGTGGTGATCTTTGTAGAGGTGTGAGAATAGATCATATGTGTTTTGTTGTTGTTTGTTTTTTGCTGCAGAGTCCATTTGCTGAGCTTTCTGCATTTTAAAAATTTAAATGCTTAATTTTTAAAATTATGGCCTCCCCAAAAGCTCATCTCTTTGTTCTCATAAATAACAAGGTATAATAACCACAACAGTAATATTACAAGTCACCAAGAAATATTTATTAAGCACCTGCTGTATACTCAGCACTGTGGCAGGGGCCGTGAAGGGCACAGAGCAGTACAGAGCATGGTCCCCACCCTTAAGAGGCTTACAGTCTAGGTGGAGAGACGGGGAACCAGAACACATGGAACCAAGAGAAACAGTCCAGGCCAGGATGGTACAGGAGCTGGAGGTACTTTGGTCAGACCCACTAAGTGCTCTGGCACCTCCAGGGGCTCAGTGTTCGATGGTCCAGGCCAGGATAGTACAGGAGCTGGAGGTACTTGGGTCAGACCCACTAAGTGCTCTGGCACCTCCAGGGGCTCAGTGTTCGATGGTCGCCACTCCCAGCCCCACGTCAGGCCCCTCGGCGTGCCCTGTCCACAGCCTCTAAAAATCTACTCCCGCCACTAAAAATCGTCTGACTCCTTGTTCAGCTGCTTCTCAAAGTGCAATGTAACGGGGAGGGATGGGGCAGGCGGGGAAGGTCACTGGACAACTTCCAGGAGCTGGTGTCTCCCTCCTAGAAAGATCCGTTCCCCTCACCACACAGCACCACGTGGAGAGACCCACTCAGGCAGCCTGTGCCACCACCCAGGACCCCAACCCCAGAGCTAAAAGAGGAGGCGGCGGTCGCTGCTCGAGCTGCCTGAGGTAGCACTAGGGAGCCCTTCTCCGAGTGTCCCTTCCCCTTTGAGTGCGTTGAGTCAGGGGGACAGGTGCCCCAGGGCTGCCACCCGGGGCTGCGAGGGTACTGGGGGACACAGACATGGGGAGGGGAGAGCAGCAGAGGGGACTGGAGACCCAGCGAGGAGAGAGGGCGGCTGGGCTCCCGGAAGAATGCAGGAAGACCGAGCACTGAGGCCGGCTCCCCAGCGGGGACACGGGGCCTGCAGGGAGGGCTGGCTGGCTACGGGACCCTACCTTGCCGTCCTCGCGCGGGACAGAGCAGGGCATCAAGAGCCAGGCAGGTGCCAAGCCCCAGCCCTGTGCCGGGCTGTGCCATGTCCAGGGCCCCCGCCCTGTCTTGGACGAGGTGCGGGCGCTCCAAAGTTCTTGGCGATGCCCCCACTCAGCCGGGCCCCCTTCAAAGTGCTATCTTTTTGCTTCTCAAATTAGAAGGCATTCAGGTTTGAGAATCCAGGAAAGGGGTGGAATTTCGTGACACCCACGAGACGGGGAGGAGGGAGCCAGGCCCCCCCAGAGAGTACGCCAGCGGGAGGGTGGAGGCGGGAGGGCTGGCGTGACGCAGCCCTCCCTCCCCCGGGGAAGGGAGAGGAGAGCTTTAAATAACATTTCATATAATAAAAATACCCAGCACTCCAATGAGCCTATCCTCCTACTGCCTAGTTTTGTTTTAAATAGTTCTAATGCCAGAGGCTGGGGGGTGGAGAGGCGGGTGGGGTATGTACACAAGGAGGAGTTTAAATTAAAACACAAATAATAATTAAGACGCACAGTCTAAGGCGGAAAGCGTGGAAGGAGCCTCGAGCCGCCCTCATTTCCAGGAGCGCGAGCCCTGCCGCGGCGGTTCAGGGCTTCCTCTTGGAGAAGATCAGCCGGCGTCTGGAGTGGTAGAAATCTGAGGAGAGAGAGCAGACGTCAGCCGGGCCAGGAGGAAGAGGGCACAGCAGGGCCACCCATGCGAGGCCAACTGCAGCAGGGCGCAGGGAAGACTGGGAACTCCCACTCCGCCTCCCAGGGGCGTTCTCGGGCACCCGCAGCTCCACGCACGGGACTGGCAGGGCACCTACACCCGCAGGCCTGCCCGAGCCGAGCCGCCCCTGCAGGAGCCACCAGCTCTGTGTGGTTATTTCGACTGACTAAAATCAAAGAAAGTAAAAAGCGCGGTTCTCAGTCACACTAGCCGCGTGTCCAGTGTTCCACAGCCACATACAAACAGCGGCCACCGCACGGGACACTTCCATGACCACGGAGGGCCCATCTGGGGACTCCGTGCGACAATCCATGAAAAGAGTTCTGCACCGCGTCTGGCCCGTACAAATGTTGTTGCTAGTTCTGACCCAACTGCAAATTTGCAGTGAGATTCTTGCCTTCACCTCTCAGCCTCAGTTTCCCCACTTAGAAAATGAGGATAACAATTGTATGGTGCTATAAGGATTAAATGAAATGTTCTCTATAAAGGCTTTGGTTGAGGGCCTGGTGTGACAAGGGCTCAAATGTCAGCATCATTCATTCATCATCAGGCACCTACTATGTGCCAGACACGGTTCTAGGTGCTGGGGTTGGGCAGAGATTTGGGTCCCCTTCTCATCAAGCCGACAGCCTAGCGAGGGACAGAGAAGGAGCTGTCCACCGACTGTGAACAGTGCCGAGGAGAACAGACAGGCAGGAAGGGGAGGGTGTGTCAGGAAAGGGGAGTAAATGCTGGACAGGGGAGCCAGAAAATCAGTATCAGTACTTTTCTCTCCACTGCAAATTCACGGTGGGACCTTAAAACAAACCGCTCTCCCTTCCCGAGCCTCGATTCCTTGCTCTAGCAGGGTGGCGAGAATGCCCTGCGGCATAGGACTGCTGAGAGGACCACAGGAAATCCACCTTAGACGCTCAGCACAGGGCCTGGCATGTAGCGGGTCCCCAGTAAGTGTGCGCGAGCTAGCCCTGGCTGTGTGACGGAAGGCTGTCGCTCTCCGGGCGTCTCCCTCCACCCAGCCCGTGCACTGGACCCGCCGGGTCGGCCCTGGGAGCGTGGATCCTGAGAGCCCTGGTCTCTCACAGAGTCCTTCCCCGTACCTGTCCTCACCTGTCATGCTGGTCTGCCGCCGTTTTCGGCCCTGAGAGGTGCCAGGCCCACCTGGGGAGCCCTCAGGCGGCTCCCCGGGGCGAGGCACGAGGGTGCAGGTCAGCGACAGGTCCACGTGGTCTTCGGGGGCTGTCCCCTGCAGCAGAGCCGAGGAGGCGCCGGGCCACTTGCCCCCTCCCGAGTCGTCCCGGGACAGGTAGAGCTTGGGCAGGCCGAGGCCCCGCACGCGCTCCCAGGCGAAGTCACCCTCCAACGGTGTTTCGGTGACAAAGTCGAAGTTCCATCGCTCGCGGGCCTCCTGTAAGCAGCCGGCCATCAGGGCGTCGCAGTCCCGGCGCAGCTCCTCGCTGTCCACCGGGCCGAAGAGGCGGCGGCAGGCCCTGCTGCCACCCGCGACCGGACGGCCGTCCCCCGGCTGCTCCGACATGGCGCCTGTGGCCGAGACACAAGGAAGGCCCTGGTCACTGGGGAAGGGGCCTCCCCTCGGCCAGGCCCTGCTGTGTGCCCTCGGGTCTCTCTGGCTCCTTCCGGCCAATGTCCAACCACCTGCTCCCCGACTCCCACCAACAGACCCTGGGCGGCCCCAGGGCCACTGGGGGGCAGGCAGCTGAAGGGCAAGCTGTGTCAACAAAGGCAAGTTTGCCGCAATAGCAGGGATCAGGGTCCTGTTTACCACCAGCTATTATCAGCTAAAATCAATCTGTTTTCCCCCCTGAGGTGTCCCTCCTGGGTGCGAATGCCCCAAATATGTGTGAATTGCCAGAGTCCAGCAGTTTCCTAATCCCAGCCAGGCCGGGAGGTCAAGTCCCAGTGAAGGGTCAGACTGAGGGCTCTTCCAGCCTCCTGAATCCCCCACCCAGACACCCACGTGGGGTCACCCCACTCTGCAAAGTGAAAGCACCCTGAATTTCGGGGTGAAAATACCAGAGTTATATAGTCCTACCTCTGCCATTTACCACCTAAACACCTACTTAATGTCTCCGGGCCTGTTTCTTCACCTACAGACGGGGCCACGTGCAAGTTTCGAGCATGGCTATAGAAGCACGTGCAAGCAATGGGCGGGGGGCGGCACGCAGCAAGGCAGAGGGGACAGGGCTTTGTTTTGGTGGTTAGGAGTGAGGGCTGTGGGGCCAGCTAGACTGCCTGGGTTGGAATCCAGGCTTTGCTGGGTGACCTTGGACAAGTGACTTAACTTCTCTGGGCTCTATTTTCCTAATCTGTAAAATGGAGATCGTAATAGTGATTGTCTGAGGACAGATGTGAGGATTGACTCAGTGAATGTAGGTGACATGCTTAGAGCAGCACTTGGTTTATAGCGTGCTCAGAAAATGAGAGTGTCTTTACTTCTCTCTGCATGCAGTTCTGGCTGGGCCTCACCCCATTGCTGCCCCCCTCCCACCTGTCCCCTGCCAACTACCTCCTTCAGACAGCAGCTGACAGGTGCTGTAGGCTGAGGGCCTTTCCCGAGGATGTCATCAGCCCGGTGGCCTAGAGGTAAGGAGGGGCTGGGCGGGGCAGGGCAGGGGATGGTTTCTGGAGGCTGAGCCACATCCTGCCAGGCAGGTCAGGTGATCTGAAGTCTAGACACCTCGCAGTGCCCGCCCTCTGTTGCCTGTATCCAAGGAACCCGTTTTGCAGGCAAAGAAAATTAAAGGTGGCTGGTCTACCTGGCTCCTCTCCTCCCACTTCAAGAGAAAAAACTGAGAGTGAGTTTGCCCATGAGGGAGCCCCGGCACCTACGTTCCTGGCACTGGCCTGACTCCGGGCTGAGTGACTGAGGGACCTTGGCAAGGACTGGGTTTTCCTAGGGACAAGTCCAGACGTGCAGGCTCTGCGGGTGCAGGCTCTGCCGAGTGGCCTCCTGCGGCAGGAAGACCAGGACCTGCGCCCTACCCCTCCTCACCGCGCCTCTCCTGATGCATGGAGCCCATAACTCTAGGTCTCAGCTGGTTGGGAGGGAGGCAATCGGTGACCTCAGCCCAAGTTTAAAGGGCAGGAGCTCAAAGAGATAGGAGACTTGCCCTAAAATCATACAGCTAAAAAGGCCAAAGTCCACTGCCCTAAAAGGGGAGACACAGTACAGTGGACAGAGCCCTCAAATAACCGCTGTCCACCCTCTTCAGGGTATTGGTTGGGATTATGTGTATACTTTTATGTGCAGGGGTTGTTCTGGGCAGTTTACAAATATCAAGCCTCCTAAAAAGTGGGTATGTATTAGCTTCCTTTTCACAGAAGAGGTAACCAAGACTCAGAGAAGTTGCCCACGGTCACACAGTTCACAGGTGGCACAGCCAGGGTCTGAAGCCAGGCCTGTTTGCCCTGGGCTCTGTGCTCTGGTGCTGAACCCAACTCCCTCTGTTCTTAACCCTGGGGGCCCATCAGAATCGCTTCACGGAGATTTCTCAAAATGCAGACTGCTGAGCCCTACTCCAGAGACCAACTTAATCCACATTGAAGGAGCCTGAAGTGGCGCACTCCCGCAGATGGGCACTCCTGGAGACACACGGATGTGTGTGCAAGGGGCTTTCTGGGTGTCAGCGCCCCACAGGCACAAGGAGGGGGAGCCCACCCAGGGCTTTATCAAGGCGCTGGACATCCCCTGGCTCCCAGGAGCTGAAAAAGGGACCAAAATTCAGGCAGGGACCCTGTCCCCATCTCCTACCCCTTCCCTAATGGCTGTCACACGCCTCTCCTCCCCACCAAAGTCTGCTCTCATGCTCTTTATCATAACTCCCAGTTCAAAACAAAAATAAACATAACAGAAACGCAAACCCTCGTCGATTGGCAAAGTAACCGAGAATAGCTTCCTTTGTTGGCCTTCGTGCCTTAGACTTCAGCCATATTTTATCATGGTAAAAGGCAAATTGGAAGAGCTCAGCGACACTGTCGAAGCAGTGGGGCACTCTTTCACGGGGCGGTGGGTAGGGGCGCACCCGGGTGGAGCCCAGGGGAAGCGGGGCGTCCGCGGAAGGCGGCCTGCGACTCGCGCCAGCGCCGGGAGGGGGCGCGTGCGGCCAGGAAACCGCGCGGAGGGCGGCGCGGGGCGCGGGGCGCGGGGGCGCGCTGACTCAGCTTCCTGCCGAGCGCTCCGCCCGCCCGGCTCCGCCGCCGCTCGCGCTGCGCGTCACCCGGGCGGGGCGGGACGGCGGGAGGGCCCGCGGGCGGCGAACACGTCACGCTGAGCCGGCGGCGCCCGAAACTCCCGCCGCCGCCGGGACAGCGCGCGCTCGCGCCGGCCGCACACGACACAGTCACACACGCACGCGCTCATACACACGCACGCGCACACATTCACACACACACGCGCATACACACACGCGCGCACACAGTCACACACACGCACGGCGCATACACACACGCGCGCACAGTCAACACAGCACGGATACACACAGCGCGGCGCACACAGTCACACAACGCACGCGACACCACGCGCGAACAGTCACACACACGCACGCGCATACACACACGCGCGCACACAGTCACACACACGCACGCGGCATACACACACGCGCGCACGCAGTCACACACCGCACGCGCTACACACACGCGCGCGCACAGTCACAACACGCACGGCATAACACGCGCGCGAACAGTGACAACACGACGCCTCAACACACGACGCCGACGATACCAGCACCAGTCCACACACACAAGCATGACATACACACCGCGCCGCTGCACAACATGCACGACATACACACACGCGCACACAGTCACACACACACAAGCATGCACATACACACGCACGCATACACACACGCGCGCGAACACACACGCACACACACGCGCACACAGTCACACACACACGCGCACAGTCACACACACACAAGCATGCAATTTACAAAACAGACGCATACACACACGCGCGCGCGCACACGACACCACCGGCGCACACAGTCACACACACACGCGCACACAGTCACACACACACGCACACACACACGCGCACACAGTCACACACACGCACACACACGCGACGCACAACAGACACACACGCGCACATCAGGCAGCAACACGCGCAAGGCTGCGGCCGAGATGGGGCCCCTCCGCCTTATCTCCACGCCCAAAGCACGGGATGAGTCAGATCCCTGGAAAATAAAAATAGACGGGAGCAACGAAAATAAAACCGCTCGAAAGTTCTCCCAGAAACGCGACGAAGGAGGGAAGGAGAGAGGAAGCAGCTTGGGCGCCCCAAACGCCCAGTCCCCGGCCCGAGGTTCTTCTCCGCACCCGGAGGACGCAAGTGTCCCCGGGGTGCCAGGCGGCGCGGACGCCCGTGGCCCGCGCAGGGCAGCGGCGCCCGAGGGCGACTCGCCCTCCCGCTCCAGTCAGCCCGGTTGCCTTCGGAGAAGACTCTCTGGGCTAAGCTGGGGCGCCCCGATGCCCCGAGGCAGCCGACCGAGGCCCTGAGCTGCGTCGCGCCCCCTGAATCCGCGCCCCGCAAAGACAGGACCCCTCCCCGCCTCCCACCGCTCCGCAGCGCCGGGCGCTTGCCTGGAGCCCCGCGCCCCACCCCAGGGCAAGCGGGGGTTCTGCCGGCGCGGTGGGAAAGGTGGTGGCACCCCGCGCGTCCCCGACTGGCAGGCGGGTCAGAGCCAGCCCAGCGCCGGGCGCCGCTCCTGGTCCTGGAGGGCGCGCCGCGGAGGTGGAACCCGACAGCCGGCCCGGGACCTTCGGTGCCCCGGCTTCCCTGGGAACACGCTGTGCCAGCCAAATAGGTCACTGTGCCGATGGGGGACAGACTGCGGAGGGGCAGGGAGAGGGCCTTCGGGTGCCACCGGTCCCCAGCCCGGGCGCGGTTCTGAGCTCGTACAGTCCGTTCCCCGGGGTCTCCTTGTCACAGTGAGTCACCTCCTCGCTTGTCCTCGGGGACGTGTCCTGGCACCCACCCAAGGCCAGGGGCATAGCCCGCGCTGACCTCAGCGTCCAGCCGGGTGGCGGACACAGCGGCATAGGTGGCTGGAACCTCAGGGACCTGGGCCAGGGCGGTACCGACTGGACCCGAGAGCCGCCCGGGACATATCCCGGACGAGCTCGCTCCACTTTGCGTCACCCGCCCCTCCTGGGCCCCTTCAGGGACACGGGCTTCATCCCCAAGCCACCAGCAAGCTGCGCCGGGGCCGGGGGCGCCCCCGCCCCCAGAGACGAGCTCCCAAGGCGGCCCCATCCGCGCCGTCCCTCTCGCCAGCCGAGTTTCGAGGGGAGCGGAGCGGAGCGTGGCAGGGATCCCTCGTATTTGTGCTCCTGCTCTCCGCCCAGAGTCTCCGACACGTCCCGACCCCGCCGCACGCGCAGTCACAGACACCCGTGTGCGCAAAGCGGGCGCACACACCCACGCGCGCCATTCACCTGCCGCAGGAACACCTGTGAACGCGGCACGCACACACGCGCGCACACGCATCCCCGCGGACGCCCGCACGCGACACGCGGGGACACGCGCGCGGACACCCGGAGCCGCTGGCGGGGGCACTGTTGCCCGCCGCGCTCCCTCACCTCGTCTGCGCGTCTCGGCGGCTCCGTGAATCCGCGCCCCAGTCGGTCTCCCAGACGCTCGCCCCAGCAGCTGCTCGCACCTCAGCTGGCGCAGCTCCGCGCTGTCCTAATATAGCGACTTCCCCTCCGTCCCCCGCCCGCCTCGGAGGCGGGACCCGCCGCTCAGCCCACAGCGCCTCCCGGGCCCGCCTCCCCCGGCCGCCGAGCTCCCCGCCCGGCCTGGCCGGGCTCCAGCGGGCCAGCCGTCTGGGAACCTCGCGTGATGCACGAGGGCGCGTCCCTCCTCCCCCCGCCTCGCCTGGGTCTGTGCCCTGGACACATTTCCCGGCCACTGAGCCACAAATCAGGCTTATTTTAAGTTGGAAAATGAGTCGCCACTCTCTGAGGGCACGGCATTGTTAGCCCCGCGACCGGCCAATTCTGGGCAAGGATTCACCGGAGCAGTTGAAAAGATCAGGAGTGACATCCATAAATAAAAATCGATAAATAATCAAAATGATGCACCTCTCTGCAATTCCCAGAAAATCCCCACTACACCCCAACGGCCATGAATCCCTCACCAGACCACCTCACCCCAAGCACCCGGGGCACCCGACACCCCAACACCGCATCGTTGAGGCCTGAATGGCATCCAATCCCCTTTATTTCACAGATGAGGAAACTGCATACAAAGTTGTTGCTTGTCAAATGTCCCAGAGAAGGAGGGAGCTGGGGACACTTCTCAAAAGGGCCAACCTGGTCTCCAGGGGAAACAGATTGGCCTTGAACCAGGCTTCCTAGCCTGCACTCACCTGTCTGTCACCACCAGAAGCAAGCACTGGGCTGCGGCAGACTTAATGGGAGGAAGCGGAGAGGGATCTGGTGAGCGAGATATGGCCTGGATATTGCCCACACAGTCCACACACACTGCCGGGGAAACTGAGGTTCGAGAGGTCCCGTGGCCTGACGCTTGGCACGGGGAAGAAATGGCTGCGACTGGAAACAGGCCTTCTGCCTCTGCCCCGCTCTCCGCTCGCTGTCCTCTATTTCAGCCGCTCCAGGAAGATGAAAATGCGCAGCAACCCTCATTTCCAGGCAGGTTACTGAGGTGACATTGATAAGGACAATTTGGGAAGTGTCTACTGGTGCCCCTGACAGATACAGAAGTGAGCGAGGTGGCTCTGCTGCTCCCACCTACCCCCACACCCCTCGGCTCCCCTGGACTGCACCTTTGCCTCCTTTCTTCACCTGAAACATTTGCAGTTTGGCTTTTTAAGAGCTGCAGAGAATGGAGTGTTAATCTGAACAGAAATTCCTCTAAAACAGAGAATCCAGGCTGGAAGCAGCTACAATTACTGACATCTCGGGCTGCTCCGTGTCTGGAAATCTCTGTCCGGACATGCCCAGTCTTCTTCCTCTAACGCAGCTGACCTCGGGGAGGACAGGCTTCCCTCCTGTCTGCGGTGGGGATGGGAGCCCGGGCCGGCGGGAGCACCAGACCCCCTCGCCTGCCGGCCACACGACCCCGGCCCCGGCCCCTGCTCCTGTCCTCGCCTCCTGCCCACGCCCATGCCATCCACAGGCTGGGCTGTCAAACGTCCAGCCGAGGCCGGGCACATCCTCCTACTGCCTGGAGTCCCCGTGGTTTCAGGCATTTCAAACAGACTTGACATTGTCTGCCTGTTTACTTTGGGGAAATTTTTTTTTAATGAAGGCTTGTAATGAATTATTTAAAGTTTTGTGGTACATTGAGCTTCACAATGAAATAATTCTTTTTGTTGTTGTTGTTGTTGGAAAGTAAATTTTTTTATAACTTCTAGCTCACCACCACCACGACAGTATTCAACAAATATTTATTAAGCACCTACTAAGTGTCTAGTACTGTTCAGTACTTTTAAAAAAATGTTTGTAACCATGAACTTGAATGTGCAGTCACACATCCTGTTCAAGCGAGGACTTCTGCCCCGAAGAGGGCAAGGGAGCAGGTTAGATGGTTAGAAGTCACACACAAAACCTGACTCCCCAGGCTCCCAACAGACACCCAGGGATCTGTAGCAAGTCACATATTTTGTTCAGAGAAACTCAGGCCAAGGTCTACCTGGGGTCTCTGGGAGCCTCCTGTCTCCCACCATTCCCCTCCTCACCCCAAAGCAGGCAGCCCCAAGGACAGAACAGCCACCAGCCTCTTCCAAGCCAGGGCTGAACATGTTGGGACATGTTCTTGGGGCCAGAGGGCCAGTCGGGAACACAGCGTGCTGCCCGAGCGTGCTCCCAGGAAGCAGGGATGGGGGAGGCTCAGTCTGGGGGACAAGAGGGTCCAGAGCAGCCCCCACCCAGATGAGGGTGGAAGGAATGACGGAAAGGAAAGGTGGAGAGCCCGAACCTGCAGAAGGAGGATGTGAGGAGGGCTCAGTGGTGGCTGCAGGAGCTACCGAGGAAGGGAGAGGAAGTGCTAGGCGCAATGTCACCATTTCTCAGAAAAGGACTGGGGAGTCCCAAATGGGGGCAGGCAGCTTTCAGAGGAATTCACCTCTACACAGGCTCCCAAGAAGTGAGACCCCACGGAAGAGGCAGAACAGAGATATCACAGTACTGAGCAGAAGCCCTGCTTGAAAAAAAAGAAAGAAAAAAAAAAAAAAACAAGAACGAACTTGGGAACCCCCACTCTGACCTGCTGGGGCTTTATCCAGTCAGCATAAGGATCAGGACTGACTATATATTAAGGCCAAAAAATCTGTGACAGAATTTGTGCAACACTTCTAGCCTCCCAAGCCTACTTGCCTAACCCTGAAGTTTCACCATTAGAAATTCATTCCTTTGGCACAAAGTTCTATTCTTTATTAAATAAGATCATATAGGCAAAGTGCTTACCCTGGCGTATAGAAATCACTCCGTAAATGTTAGTTACTATTATTGCTGTACAAACATTGGCAGGAAAAGCACCCCTAGAAATTATTTTCACTTTAGTGGCTATGTTAGGTAAGTTTCCCAGAAAACACATTCTGAAGTAGAGATTTGTTTGAAGGAGGTTTACTGGGGAGCGCATTCACAGTTAACAGCCTGTCCAGGCATCAAGAAAACAGAATCGGGCAAAGAGAGGAGGTAGGCTCTTCTGGAGGCTGGAGGCCCTAGAGAGGCCTCAGGCGATCCCGCAAGGAGCTGTGGAGCTAGCGGGGTCCTGCAGAGTGCCCTGAATCGACGCGAGGGGGCTAGGCCTGTATACCCTCACCTCCGCCAGTCACTTGGGTGCGGCTGCCCCCGAAAGTAGTGGACAGGTGACCTCAGGCAAGAGAGCTTCCCGACCTGAGGCCGGCGCTGCTGGCAGCCACTGGGGGGAACAGTGCCTGGGCCCTGCAGGGTCCTGAGGGGCTGCAGCACAGTGTGAATGCCCAGCAGGTCATGTAGGGCCTGCAAGGGAAGGAGGTGCTGTGACCACAGGCCGCCCGGGCAGGGAAGGACTCTCTGTGCCTTTGCACACGTTGTTCCCTCTTCCTGGATTGAGGACTCCTGACCAACCCACTCCACCTCACTCCATTCTTTACCTGTTGAACTCCTATTGATCCTTCACAACCCAACCTGCACAAGTTCTTGGGGTGGGGCCTTCTCAGAGCTCCCTGGCTTGCAGAGCTCCTGGCGAGCACGTTCCCCGCCGTGCTTCGCCGGCCAGCTCAGTTTCCGAGCCTGGGGAACCCGCTGCGCTGCAGCCTGGAGCGGGTGAGCCCATATTTTATTCATCTTTGTACCTTCAAGGCCTAGCAGTCTCAGCCTGGAGCTCAGTGAATATTTATTGAAGGGCCGTTTTTGGCCTAGACTCAGGTTAGGCTTCAATGCTGCTGCTTCTAAGCGCTGTCTTTTGTGTATTCATTTATCTATTCACTCATTCATTCATTTTTTAAAAAAATAATATAATTAACACTCGCTGCTCAAACCCAAAACTAGACTATTACGAATCACTGACCCTTCCCTGTGTGTTCTACCCCATCCCAACGTAAACATTATCTTGAATTTCATGTTTAACTTTCTTTTGTTTTAAATAGCTTTATCACATGTGGCCAAGACAATATGCTCGCCGTTACTCACCGTCACTCCGGGTGCTCTCCTACACTTCCCAGCCCTCCTTCCAGTGTAGACAGGGTCGCATGAGTAGTACTCGCCAATGAAATGTGAGCATAAGTGACATTTGTCTCCTTAGGGCTGAGGCCAGGTGAAATCCTCCAGGCTTTATGTCCTCCACAGCTACGACAAAAGTGAGATCTCATGTCCCAGATGGTGCCACTACAACATGACAGAGCATCCTTCAGCCTGGGTCCCTGAGTGACTGTGTGGAGCAGAGTGCCCACCAACTTGTGTGGGATATGTACGTGAGAAAGAGGTAACCTGGCGAGGTGTGGAGGCTCACACTTGTCATTCCAACACTTCAGGAGGCTGAAGCGGGAGGATCACTTTAGGCTGGTTGTTGGAGACCAGCCTGGGCAACATAGTGAGACCCCCACCTCTACAAAAAAGAGCTTTTAAAAATAGCTGGATGTGGTGGCACACATCTGTAGTCCCTGGTACTTGGGAGGCTAAGACGGGAGGATCGCTTGAACCCAGGAGTTAGAGGTTGCACTGAGCTATGATGATGCCATTGCACTCCAGCCTGGGTGACAGAGCCAGAGGCTGTCTCTAAAAAAGAAAGAAAGAAAGTAGTAACCCTTTGTTATGTGAAGGCACTGAAATGTGGAGGTTATTTGACACTGCCGCATAACTTAACCTGAGATTTATCCATGCAGTTGTCGGAGTTGTGGTTTATGGAAATCTGTGTCACCCAATGAAATACACCTCTGGGTGTTCACACTCTTTTGTAGCTGTCTCCCCTTGAGTATGTCTGGCTTGTGACTCATTTTGCCAATAGAAAGGGACAGAGTAACCCTATGCCCATTCCAGGTCTAAGCCTTAAGAAGGTCTAGCAACTTCTGCTTTCGCATGCTTAGGGACCTTGAGCCACCATGTAAGAATTTGGATTACTCTGAGACCGCCAAGCTGGGAGGAGTCCCATGGAGAAGTCCCATGCAGGACAAGCGAGGCCCACCAGCTAAAAGCTCCAGCTGATGCAGCCAACAGCCACCAGCCCCTTGCCAGCCACGTGAGGACCATCGTGACAGCCGATCCTCCAGCCCCAGTTACACTTCCCCAGGTGAAGCCACATGGAGCAGAGACAAGCCGTCCCAATGAGCCCCTGCCTAAATTATGGAGTTTTGAGCAAATGAATGATTGCGGTGGCCACTGTGTTTGAACAGGGTTTGTTAGGCAGCGATGCGTAACTGAAACATGGTTTAATGGTTTTCAGTACTGAGCTATCCCTTCTGATAACTGTGTTAACTGTTCAGGAGAAACATGATTTATCCATGTTTATCATGGTTTATCATGGTTTATCATGATTATCCATACCAGGTGTTTGGGGCTCACTGTCTGTCTCTTGTGGGCTTATTGGAACAAGTCTAAAGTGCTGAATGCACGGTGGGCATTATCGTTGCTTGCATTGTCTTTTTTTTTTTTTTTGTAGAAACAAAGAGGAATCCAAAGGAATGAAGCCCTTATGGTGGAATTTCAGATACTGTGACACCTGAGAATACACATTTGGTGACAAGGGAACTGCCACAGACTCCGAGTTCAGTCCTGTGAGCTGCCTTTAAAGCCGCCAAGACGCCGCTCACTCCAGGGTCCTTAGCTCACAACAGCCTTCTGGGTGATCCCAAAAGAGTAGAAATTTGATTTTTTTTTTCTTCCCTAACAAATTATTTTCAAGGCCTCCCCAGGAAAAAGCCTCAGCATACACCAAAGGGCTGAGGGGCTTGGGTTTGGAAGCTCGGATTGCACAGTGGTGTGGAGTCTTAGTGACGTCAGGGTTTCAGGTTTCAGATCGGTTACCTTACTCCTCACCTTCCACGCCCTCCCCCTCCTCCTTCCAGGACGGGTGTTTTAGACACAGAAGTGCTGGCTTTGGCTGGGGTGACACAGACAGAGGGTCAGGGCAAGCCAGGGCTGTGGCTGTGGCCCCACCATCTCGGCTTCCCCTCCCATCAGCTGCTCGTCCTCGTGTTTGCGTCTCTAGGGCGGGTCTGAGTGTCATCTGTGATCTCAATGCCACCAGGGCCCCCATGGAACGCAACAGCTGCAACCCCAAGCCTCACATGCTGGCGGCCCCACTGGAGCCAAGTCCAGAGCCAGGGAGATGAGACTCCCTCCCCCATCCTCAGTGACCTCTAACAGCCCTGAACCTGCTGGGAGGAATAACTGCTGATAGCTCCTCCGGGGCACATGCTAGCAGCTCAGGACAGGGCTTAGGAAGAAAGCAGGGGCGTGTGCTAGGATGACACTAGCTGCTATAACAAACAAACTCACACGTTTCAGTGACAACCCAATAGAAGATTACTTCTCACCCACATTTGAATCCAGTAGAGGTGTTCTGGTCAGCAGGTGGCTGACCGTCACGTGGTGATCACGGTTCTTTCCACGCTGTGGCTCCACCACTCCCCAGGCCCTCGAGGCCTCTGCTTCCAGCTGGAGGGAGAAGAGAGCGAATGAGGAAGGCACGTGCATGTCTTCACACCTGGCGCCATCTCCCACCTGCATTCCGCTGGTGAGAACTTGGCATAGGGCTCGTCTAGGTCACACGTTGATGTAGTCTCCGGGTGGGGGCACAGATCTGTGACGACCTACTGGCCGTCTCCACCACAGCAGGGAGCAAGGCAGATGGGACCCCTCCCTCTCCCCCATCTTCCAACCAGGGGGTGTTTTCTTGCTGAGTCTGTGGACACGGGCACAAGAAGAGCAGTGCCACCTCTGCCCTGCATGCACTTGGGCCTCAATATCCTCATCTCTAAAATGGGTACTTTCATGTCTGTGATCCTATACTCGCCACGGAGATGGGGAAAAATACAATATACATGATCCTCCTCCGTTCCCAAAGGAGGAAACCAGGACACAAAGAGGCAGTGTGACCAGTATGAAGTCACACAGCAGGACTCAATTTCCTCCTTCTGGTACACAGTTTTTCCTTTTTCTCTGTTTCTTTCTTTTTTTTTTTTTTAAACTAGTCAACATCAAAGTCTGAGAAGTCATTGAACTGAAATGCAGGAAAGTCCCTTACTCAGCAAATCCATCTGAAAATCCCCCGGGGGCCTAGGAGAAGGCTTGCTAAGAAGAAAAGTTCTTTTATGCCAGAAATGGACTTGGTGGGGGTGAGGGCTGCTGTGCTGAGACCTCAGGCAAGGCCTGGTTTTCTTTTCTCACCCTGCAGATCCCTGAAATCTCCTGGTTAGACCATCCTCTCTCTAACTCACCCAGAATTGTCCCGTGCAATAATTCTCAACATAGGCAGCGGGACGGCCCTTCAAAACCTCTTTTGAAAAATGCTCACTCCTAGATACACATGCACTCTCTCTGCAAGAAGACACAAGGAACAATGACAGTGGCTGTCTCTGGGGAGAGGAGCAGGTGCCCTGGGTTGCCCACCTCCAAGGTACATCCACACCAGCCAAGTCTGTGTGGACAGCACCCCCTGGAGTTGTCCTGTGCAAAGCCTGCCTGCCTTGGGGTGCAAAGTGAGCTTATTCCTTGTAATATATTTTTAAATAGTGAATACTATTTTAGGTAATAATTAACACAATTGAAAAATAGATTCCAAGTTCCAGCCCTTTGGGGACCTACTGAGTTAGGATTGGGTGAGGTCAGCCAGCTGCACAGTGTGCAGGTATTTGGAAAACTCTCGCCAGGTGATTGAAAGCTCCCCACGCTCCACCCTCAAAGTTTGGGAAACCTGATTCAGTCTGTCCCCGCACAGGGCCCCCATCTCACTTTTAGAAGCTCTCAGCAGCCCCTTCCACCTCTGCGGGAGTGAGGGAACAAGGAATAGATGCTGTCCCTGAGCAGGGGGCAGGGAGCCAGGCTTTGGGGAGGAGAGGCTCAGGGCTGAGCGAGCAGGAGGCCAGCTTTGCCTCCTGGGCGGTGGGCCCCCCACTCCCCTGCAGCCCTGAAACAGCCTCCCCACAGCACCCAGCCCGGCTGTCTGTCGCATCAGCATCTCTGGCCAGGCCTGCAACTGCTGGCCTTGCCCGGGCTTGCCTTTTGTTGCATCATCATGTGGCCTTGCCGGGTGCCAGAGGAGTGAGCCGCCCACTCACTGCTGGAAAAAAACAGCTAATTATATCACCGGAGACCCATGGCAGGGGCATGTGGTCATTTTCAGCTGGCCCAGCCTGTTTCTACTTGCTTTACATGATTGCTCTTGATTTTTCAAAATAATAGTAACAGCTACCAACCAGGAAAAAATGGCCCAGGGTCGTGGAGCACTTGCTGCTGAAGTGGGACTTAGGGCCACCTGCTGCTCCAGGAGAGGCCCACGAGCCCTTTAGCTCAGAAACCCAGAAGCCAGACTCTGGAGTCCAGGCCAGGGCGCGACAGACAGCTGCGTGAGAACTGGAGACGCTGGAAGCAGCAGAGTCGCAAAGACAAATACTGCTTTGACAGCGCCACAGCAATTTATTTTTTCAGAAATCTTTAAAATTCTATTTGTACTTTACTCAAGCATGCAGAGTGTTTTATTTTTCCATAATTTCCTGTGTTTATTTTTTGAGTAGATAATGCATACGATGCAGAAGGACGCGCAGGCGGAGCTATCCCTCCTACCCCGTCCTCCGGCCCCTCGTCCCTTCCAGAGGCTGTGGCCGGCGCCCGCGTCCCTCCCAGAGACAGTCCACGAACAGCCAGCCCCTTCGGCTAAAACCCTCGGGACAGATGGGCCGCAGAATCCAGGACGTCTTCCGGTGTTTTCCTGTGTATTGCCAAATCAGGACCAGGGTAGCAGCGGTCTATGTGACACCTGAGGGCCACAGTTTTAACACTGAAAGGACCAGAATAACCTGGGCTGGAGAAGGACACGGGGAAGGCAAGAGGGAGAGGACGGGGCAGTCCTGCAGGGCCCAGCTCAGCCCTCTCGTGCACCTGGACCCACGTCTGCGGGCTCCACGCAGGGTGCTCTGTGGCTCCTCACTCTCATTCCCCGCCTCCACCAACGGTGGGAATAATAATAATAATAATTAAAGTATCTCACATTTACTGAGCACTTTCTATGTGCCAGACTCTGTTCTAAGTACGTCCTCCATGGTTACTTGGTTAATTTTCACCATTACTCATTTCATGAATAAGGCACCATTACTTTCATCCCCATTTTATAGATTAGGAAACTGAGGTAGAGATAGAGATGAAATCACTTCCCAAGCCAGACAAAGACACAGCAAGGATTTGAACCCAGACAGGCCGGCTCCAGAGGCGAAGCTCTTAACCACTAATAATGAAAACAGCTGACACTTAGGCTGTGATTACCCCACACCAGCTGCTCTCTGGGGGCTCGCGGGTATCAGCTCAGCTAATCCTCGCGGATACTATGATTATCCCCATTTTGCAGATAAGGCCCCAACACACAGAAAGGCTAATCCACTCACCCGGGTCACACAGCTGCAGAAGAAGGATCTGAACCCGGCGGCCCGGTTCCAGAGTGTCCTTCTGCACGGGCCCTGCCCCCTGGGGCGCGACCAGCTACGGGGAGTCTGAGAGCAGCGACCTGGCTTCCCTCGCTCCGGCCACAGGTGGCGCCAACACTGGAGACTTTAACAAGCCCTCAGTAAAGAGTCAGTGAACGCTCTTCTAAAATAACTCTTTTCTTGGTATTAAAAAAAGAATCATATTCTAAGTTCATTGTAGGAAATCTGGAATATATAGAAAGCCCCCAAGAAGAAATGTAAGCCATCCCTCACAGCGCAGGGAAGACCACGGCTGACATCTTGGTGTCTTTCCAGCCAGTGTTACAAAATAGGGATTTCACTGTGTTCGGTTTTGTAACCTCCTTTCTTCTCACTTAATCAACAGATCACAGACATTTTCCCATGTCATTACATTTTCTTCTGCAACTTCCGCAGAGGAATACTCTGTGATTACCTATGAACCAGAATGCCCCTCACAAACAGCCCCCTCCCCACGGACCCCTACAGTCCCCAAATACACCCACCCTACGCATTCCACCTTTTGCTACGTCCTGGCATCTCTGGAAAGCTCATACCGTTCCCTCTGCCTCCCTGCTTAGACACACGGTCTTTTCCACTCCTGCCAGGGATGTGTCCCCATCCTTCTCAGCACCCCCATACCTCTCTGGTACCCTATTTCTCCTGCTCCAAGTCGCCCTGTACCCTTCTCACACCCTCCCTCACCCACGCTCAAAACTCCTCCATTCCCACAGGCCTGGCTGGACACAGTCCAGCCTATCAGCAAGCTGGCATGAGGCAATGAGTGTTGCAATGCACGAAGTGACGGAGGAGACAAAGCCAGCGAAGGTGCTGGAGGTTGCAGCATGGGACTCCCTCCCAGGGAGATAGGTGCATTTTGAGCTGGGACATTCCAGGCACGATGCCTTAACCTAAAAGGGGACTCTCCTTGTAGGATTCTAGGCTGCCAGGCAGGGCCTGCAAGTGCTATTTTGGTGCAGGGAGCTCTTTTGATGTACTTTAAATCCCAGCGGGGAGGCGGAGGCCTACTCCACCCTGAGGGTGGGGCGGCCCAGGCGCCTTGCCCCATTAGGACAAAATGAAAGGCTTTTGAAGCTGGTGGCTCAAGACAGGTGGCTTCTTGATTCCAACCACCGTGTTTCAGCCAGGATGAGGGAGAAGGGGGGTTTTGCAGACAGCTGGCTAGAGCGGGGCAGTTTGGGTGGGGGACGGCAGGGGGATGAGACTTCTCCCAGACCCACTCTGCCTGGGCTGGGCTTCTCTGGCTTCACTGCGCCTATGCTACCTACCTCACAGGTTTTTTAAGGATCAGGTGAGTTAGGTTTAATAAAAGTGTTTGCCAAGAGTAAAACCCCAAAGTTAGGTGTGGTTAGGCCTGTCTACCTCTTCCCTGTTTCTGGAAAGTGTTGACAGTTTCTCATTGTTTTTAAGGCATCTCCTCCCTGAGATACGTCTGTCCCTCCAGACAAGGGGTGGAGGACTCAGGGCTCAGGGAGGCACAGCTGGGTGCCCTTAGCTCTAGGCCACTGCAGCCTGCTGACCTCTTCCCCCAGAGCAGCTCAGATTTTAGCACTGGTGTTTACTGGGGACCCAGGCATCATTCACCTGAACAAAGTATAGGGCAACTAGCTCTCGTGGGTTGCCAGGATTGAGGAGTTTTCTCAGAATCAGGACTTTCAGTGCTAAAATCAAGCCAGTCCTGGGCAACAGGGATGGTCGGTCATTCTAGGTGTTCCTAGGAGTCATGCAGGTCAGGTGGTTTTGTTTGTACGTGTATATGTTATGTGTGCTGAGGAATGGGTGTGTGTGATCATTCATGTTTGTGTGCAGTGGGCGCAGTGCACACTTGGGTTTGTGTGTCGGGTTTATGTTGCTGTGTATGTGCACATGTTGTCTGCGAGACGCATGCACGTGTGCACACATGCACAGGGCTCATGTGGTGTCCTGGATTCAGCGTGGTGTGGGTAATACATGCATGCTGTTTGTGTGTGATGAACGTGGTTTTTTTCAGCAGTGGTTTATTGTAAATGTATGTTTTGCCTTTGGTGTAGTGTGGAACAGACGGTTCCATTTGTGTGAGAAGGAAATAATGCCCGTGGTGTGTATGCGTGTGAAGCGTAACTCCTGTGTGGGTGTGACATATGGTGCTGTAATGTGTGCACTACGCGTGTGCTGCATGTGCCGTTTGGTGTGTCATGGGCATGTATTCATGTCATCCGTGAGCAGAGCTGAGTGCTGTGTGCGTGTTGTGAGTTCTGTGTTCCGGGGTGGGAGCCGAAATGTGTGTGTCATTTGTGTGCGGTTGCGGGTGTGCTGTTCTCTGAGCATGCTCTGTGTGCAGCCAGTGCGGTGTGATGGGGTGTGCAATGGTGCTGGGGCTTTGCTGGGCGTGGGATTTGCGTGCCAAACGCAGTGTGCCGTGTGTGGAGGCGTGTGCTGGCGTGCCCGTGTGGGGCTGTGGCGTCTGCGTGCTCAGGTCGCACATGCGTGGGGGCTGTGCAGCATGAGGGCCGAGGCGCGGCGGGGGGCCTCTGCGGGGTGGCGGCGCGCACGCCTCACCCGCCCGGCTGCGGGAGCGCGGGGACAGCAGGGTGCTGGAGGCCACTCTGTGGCGACGTGATGGTGAGGCTGCAGTCCCCGCTTGCCCCCTGGTGCCGGCGGTGTTCAAATGTCCTCACATAACAATGGCTCCTGTCGGTCGGGCGCGTGGGGTCCGAGGATGCCCTCGCTTAATCTCCCAGCTGGCCTACGCGGGGGTCGTTGTCCCCACCGCACTGCTGAGTGACCTGAACGTCCCAGAGGGCCAGGAGCCCGCCCCGCCCGGTCTCTGACGCCCGCACCTGCTGCAGGCGAATTTGCCAGTAGGAAAACGCCACAGGAAAGCCGAGCTCCCTTGAGAGCGTGTCCCCGAGAGTCCCCCCAAAACCTGGCAAAGGGTGCGCGCCAAAATCTCTCCCCAGAGACCTTTCTGATCTTCTCACCAAGGCTGGACGAATGAAGACGTTATTAAGCTTGTGTTGTACAGTGTGATGCTTCCCAGAGGGTATGTGGCTGAATTAAACAAGACAGTAAAGTAGCTCATTGTCCAAAATCAGAGATAGATATATATATATATATTTTTTTTTTTTTTTTTTTAGAGACAGAGTCTCACTCTGTTGCCTGGGCTAGAGTGCCGTGGCGTCAGCCTAGCTCACAGCAACCTCAAACTCCTGGGCTCAAGCGATCCTTCTGCCTCAGCCTCCCGAGTAGCCCCTCCGGGCCCGGCTAATTTTTTTCTATTTTTTTTTTTTTAGTTGTTTGGCTAATTTCTTTCTATTTGTAGTAGAGATAGGATCTCGCTCTTGCTCAGGCTGGTCTCGAATTCCTGAGCTCAAGCAATCCTCCTGCTTCGGCCTCCCAAAGTGCTAGGATCACAGGCGTGAGCCACCGCGCCCGGCCCGGCCCGGCCCAAAATCATATTTCATACCATTGTGGAGCGCTTTTTAAACTCCAAATGGTCATA